TTAATACATTTGGATGATTGTTGTTGGAAAATTTCTTTATAAGGATACTTTTATAACGTGGACTATATTTATACAATCTGTATTATTATATTAATATAATCTATATCTATACACTCTATATTAATAATCTACATTTATACAGTCTATATTTTAAGCAATTGTTCAACACTTTTCGAAGAAAAGAAAATTTACCACCTGTGAAAAATAACAAATCATTGGTCTTAAATATATGCTTTACAACGTACTTTAATGTTTTATATCTTTTGTGTAAATTTTAAATAAGAGTAATTAAATTCTTTGATAGGAGTAAATAAATTCAATTGAGTAATTCGACGACCGATAGTTGTCATAATCAATATCTATTGAAAGAAATTTGTTGTACGATAGGTCAACGATTAATTAAAACAGATCATAAACTAACAAAAAAAAAAAAAAAAAGAAATGAAACGATCACTAACACGTTAAGAAAACAGGTGTATACCATCGTGCAAACATCGATTCAGAGAATCTGTATATACATTCCAGTAAACATTTCTTTATAAATATTTGATCGCTAATATTGAACATGTTTAATGTTCCCATCTTCATTAGTTTCATGTTGTGCGCTTTTATTTCCACAAGTCTTGCAAGCACCTTTAATCAACCAACTTGCAACATATTTGCCCCGCTAGCATTATTTACAATTTTCAACGTGTAATGTATCATACGCTTGCAAACAGAAAGATATTACATTATTACAAAGATAAGACTGCTAACGTTGTTTCTTGTCATTTTGTAATTTTATTTTTTTATCCTTATCTTATATTATAAAATCCTTATATTATAAAAAAAAATGATATCACTGATTTATAATTAAACTTGTTTTCAAGTCCTGTAGATACAACAGTAAATGAAATGACTGTTGTTCAATTAATCTATTAATCGAAGTAGAAGAAACCAACCATTAATCAACCGGAGGAAGAACTTTGTAATGTACAGAATGCAACGTAGCCTGGACTAAAAATTCGAGACGTTCAAAACATTTGTGGCTGGCGGAATGACCATACGATAAGCTCCTTAATTTTAAAATTATAAATAATTCGAGTAAAAAATTCGGAATTCTGAGCAAATGAGATAACTACCGGCGATAAGTGCAATTAAATTCGTATTACAGCAAAGTTCTATCTTTTTTTTTTTTTTTTTTCCTGTTCGAGGAAACGAACGGTCGAAGATTTTTCGATATTTTCCAACGAGAAAGGGCGATTCACTCTCGCGAGGCGCGTTGTATAAAAGCAGCACGCTTCGGAATCGATTGTACAAACAAGAACGTCGGTGGTGTGTACGCACCCTCAGCCCCTCGGCTGCCCGATCTTTCGTTAAATTTCCGTTTCATCGTTTCTGTGCAAACGTACCGCGAAAGGTAAAAGTTTTAAGCAGGCCATCAGGCCAAACCTGAAAAACGTTTGATTTTCGTCGCGTTCCTCTTCCTCGTGTATCTCACCCCCTCTCCACCATCCCTCTTTCCGAACACGCCGATACTTCCTACGCCCGGTCGAAAACACCATTTCTATTTAATTGACGAGAAACGGATAGAAACGAAACGGATAGAAAAACTTTCCTCCTCTCGTGTTTGCGTTTTAGTCTCTCCTTTTCTTTCTTCTTCTTTTTTTTTTCTTTTTTCGAAAAATTCTTTCTCGGCTCGTGTCTCGACTCGTTTTATTTATTCGATGTCTGGCGATAACAGTATCGCCAAATTTCATGCAAAGCTTCAAATATTTGTTTTTTTATTCAATATTCTGTCATTAGTAGATTGTGAATTGTGTCGAGACTGTGAATTGAAGGTATTTTTTATTTTAGTTTCCTTGGGAGGAGGGAGGAAATTTGTTAGAGTAGTAGTAGGTATGTTAGTGTTTGAATTTGATCTTTTATAATTTAGATAGAAAGTATTTATACCATAAACTATATTTTATGCATACATTACTTCATGATAATAATGCAAAAAGTTCTTGAATAATTTTATTCTTTAATTAATAAATACAATATCATATAGGTATTATATTAACTTACATAAATAATAATTTGAACAGAAATTAATTAATACGTTTTTTATTGGATGTCTCTGTGTTTTTCTGCTAGAGATTATTTTCTTGTCGTAATTGCAAATATATTTTAATTCATTTCATTTGTTTTTCCATTGATAAAAATGGAAATTGGTAAAAATCCGCCGAAACGACCGCTGACAAGATGCATATTCGTGACATATTGCTTTAGAAGCTTCGAACAGGAAAAATCAATAAATCATATCACAGAAACAATGAAAAATATCAGTGAAACGTATGGAGAAGATACTGTACAGTTTCGCATCTATCAAAAAAATGGCTCCGAAAATTTCGAGACTAGGAGATTTTACAGTAAAAAATTGTAGACAAAGATAATTTGCAAGCGAAAATTACCATAAATCGTCAAATCACTAGAGAATTTGCGAAATTGAAATTTAACGTTTTTCAAACGGTGAAATTTATTTAGAATAAAATTCTACTGAATACGTCGACGTATCTCTTCAAAATCAATGGATTTATTCTATTTTTCGTCGAGCGTGTGTAAAAATTGTCAAGCGTGTAGCACGAAAGGAAACAGCGATCGATGAGCATAGCCGAAAGAGATATAGCAGGTGTTGGATGAGCGTGGCCGATCAAACGGCTCAAATTGGCAGCGATTTCTCGACTGACAACTCACCCACCCCCTCCCCCCTACCCCACTCCTGCCATTTCAGTCAATTTTAATAATATCACCCCGTTCGGTACGCCTTCGTGCACAATGACTCGCACGATTTTACGACGGCTTTCAATTATCCGGGGAACCATACTCCCACGGGCCGCTGCCCTCGCGAAATATCGATCCTCGTGCTCTCGACTGCGTGGCTGCCGGAAGTGGGTGGAACGAGGAATTACGTTACGAAGGCGAGACTCGACGATAATCGCCGCTGCACTTTTCGAGGCCGTACTTGCATGCCGTGGAAATATGTAGATCGAAATTTTATATAATTACGGTGGAGTTTATCGCGATGAGAAGAAAAGGGGGTGGCAGTTGCGCGAAACGTTTAACCCTTTTCGTGTCAATTTGACACATTTTTTTCTTGTAAAATGTTGTATTATTTTATTTAATAGGTTATGTCATTTATTATTTTTCGTATAAAACGCATTACATTATTTTGGTAGGTACAGAGGTGATATTTATATTTAATATAAATTTTATTTAATATAATTATATTTAATACGTTACGTCATTTATTATTAAATTAATTTTTTTTGCGAAGTTATAATAGCTTAAATAAAACAATTTTTCATCAATATCAGTTCTAATTTTTGTCTCTTGTATTGCAACTATGAATTTTGAAAGTTTAAGTTCAAATTCGTTGCTGAAAATTCAGTTACAAAATCGAGGGAAATCAGCTTTCGACCTACTTCCTTCCTCTTAAATCCCCTATTAAATGCACGTATGTTTCCAGCCACCAATCACCTCAAAAAACCCAAGAAGCCATGGAAACTTAAGAAGATCAGGAAAAAATTGTTTGCAATTGTTTTGTAAACCCTTAAGGATCGATCGCGCAGTTCAACACGTGTGCACGAAACTCATCATGAGGTCAGACGAATGCGCACAGGATTATTCGTCGGAAAGGAAAAAGGTTTCGGAGAAGGAATTATCCCAAAATATCTACGTAAACTTTGAAATTATGCAGGAATCGCGACACATGGTCGGCCGCGGGACCGCCATCTCGTCTGGCAGATAATCGCTGCATTACGAGTGTTCGCTAGGAAGATAAATTCCCGCTGAATCCCCATGCCCGTGCAGTAAACCGTTGGTAAAAAGTACCTGGGTGGGCAGGTAGCGAAAGGAAACATAGAGCGGTTCTCGTACGAACGAACGTGCGAACGGAAACTTAAAATCCTGCCATAAAGCGATAATCGATTTACGATGGCGGCGCTTTAGCACAGTCGTACCCTGGCAAGGCGGCAAGGAGAAAACGGAAGAAAAATCGCAGAGACGTGGATTTTTCTTTCCTTTCCTTTTCCTTCCCCTTTTTGGCTCCGATAGATAATAAAGCTCAATGCGACGCAACTAGCAGGCGGCTAGCATAAAAGGAGCCTGGTGATTTTTATAGTTACGTGCGTTGAAACTTTCTAACTAACGATTTGCATTTGGAATTTTCTTTTTTTTCTTTATTAATAAATAATTAATAAAAAAAAGTGGGATCGTGTGATCGATGAGAAAAGAAACTTCGAAGTTTGACACTTGAACGTTTGTAATTAAGGGTACAACAATAACCCTTTGCGCTGGAAACTGGTTCGTGGACCATAACCGTATACAATAATTCGTCGCTTTCTCTTTCTTTCGAACTCGTCGGTATGATATCACTGGGTAGAAATTATTAAGAAGTAATAAACTTGTCATTTATTTGAACCTCGGTTACATTTAAATAGACTTAAAACTGAGAAAATGTTGCAATTTGGGACAAAAAGTTCTCGACGTGCGTCATTCCAGCGCAAGAGATTAATACTTCTTATTGTATCAGTCTTTTTCTCTACCATTGAGTAACTTTTTTAAAAGAAAGGGTGCTAATATTTTTCTCACTTTCAGGTGATTAATAAAAATAGATCTACAATTGAATAAATATTATATTAATATTATATTATATTAACAATTGATAAATATCGATATCGAGTGTTATATTGAAAATTAATATAAAAGTCCAATCCAACTGACTGAAGTTTGACGTTTAAAGATTATCTGCCAAATTTTTCAAAATCGTATTGTCGCTCTGTCTGTTCCCTGCCATTAAATTGCTTTTATGAGAGAAAAAGCACCAATATTGAGACTAGAGGGAGGAAGAGTTCAATAGCACCAAGATCGTTTTATCATAGCACATTTCTCAGTTTCTATCTAAGCTTGGCTCGAGATAATGTTTTGCTATCATCGCCCACACCGATGGTATCCATATATCGAGCCTTTTACTGTTTCAGACGATCTTCGTGAGAGAGGCTGTGCACCAAAGACAAACAGCCATACACAAGAATAACATCTTTCACGTTCCGCTAATCACAACACTCGGAGCGGGCTGTAGAAGTCGTAGAAGCGACGATGGAAAAACATAGCGCCGTCGTGGTTCGGACCAATGGAAAAATTATAGCCACTGTCGGATGGTTAATGAAGTGGGCCCACGAGTACGGGAATTATTTTTGTTCAAAACATAGTACGAACATAGTAATTACAAATAAGAATTTATTTATGCTGATTTAACTTCCACTTATTCGTCCTTTTATACTTCGAATCTAATCTAATCTCACGTAAGTAGCTATATTTCATTGAGTCTGTATTATAATTTTCATTTATTATTACTTCTACAATATTACTATTTCATTTATCATATTTATGCGAACTTTCACTTATTCTGGAATTAAATCTTTCATTTTTAATTTTACATCTATATATATTTTCTGCAATATAGATGTAAAAGAATTTTAGTTGAATTTTGTCGTATGTTGATACGATATTTAGGACTATGTTACTGTTTGATTTTTGAGAAATGTTTCATAGTTTAATGCTTAAATAAAACACGTTATTTGAATTTTATGTAACTATCCTTTCATTCACAGGTCTTAAGACAAAATCAAAGATGCCATTCGAGCTAATTATCATATAAAAATTTCTCTTTAGTCGAATTTCATTCACATATATTTTTCACTGTAATTATCATTATATTTCAATGTCAATGTAATATTAATTATATCTCTGGCACATAATTGATTTATTAATTTAAATTTTTAAATTTAAAATTCCCATGAAAGATGTATAAAAATGAGTTGCAAAATCAAGATGATGTTAATACTAAATCTACTAAATACTGAATATTAATACAGACATATCGTGACAACTTGAAGTTCTTTAACAAAAGAAAGAAACAAATCATCCACAGTTCTGTTGATGTACATTTTGTTTTATTAAAATCTCAAGAATATATACGTGTACATATGGTTATTTATTAAAACAATTCATTCGAAAAGATGTGATACTTAACTATTCAATATTCATCCTCTTTGTGTATGTATAACGTCTAAACATATGATAACTCAACATAGTGAAACCGGTGACAATTATTTTGCCACGTGTTTGAAACATATTGTATTATATTATAATAGAGTTAAAAGAAATGGTAGAAGTAACGCAAAATTCTACGCAACATTCTTACAGTTTACAGTTACTCTTAACTTAACGAGTTAGGGATATTCGGTAAAAAGGACACTTTTTTAGTGCAAAATTACTCTCCGATCGGTTATTCGATTAAAAAATACAATGGGGACCTGAGCGTTCAGCGCGATTTTAATGGCACTTTGAGAATATAGCTGATCGAATAATTACGGATGCGTAGTGCGTTTCAACTATGCACACGGTGTATAATACAGGCCACGATATAGTCAAATTGCAAATTATTGTAGTATCCTCGACAATGAACTTTTAGCATAGATTAAATTATATATATAGATGAGATATTATTGATTTTGAGAAATTGACAGTGTGCTTGAACTGTACGATAAAAGATTTATCTTACTTATAAAGAATAATTGATGTATTTACGATATTTCTATTTGAATGTGAAATAGACTACTAACCATTTTCTTTTTTAGTATATGGAATTCTAAAATACAGTTACTTTTTAGAAGATTTTCATAGCTTTTCAACATGAAGTAAAATATAGTAAATGCTAAAAGCTTTTCACAGTTCTTCGCAGGATATAAAATTGAAATTTACTATGTTTCAGACTGACATGAAGATTTTCGAATTTCATATAATAAAAAAAGAATAATCAATAGTATTTCGTGCATATAAATAGAAAAACTGGAAATGTAATAGCTATTATTTTATCAAATTAAAAAAGAAGGTAGACAAATATATCGAATATCTAAAAATATCATAAAGAATGACTATGTATTGAACATTTCTTGGCTAAGGTTTCAGATTTTTTTATATAATTACACTTCTGTCAATTTCCTGACACTATGATTATTATAATTTTCCTATATCCTGGCTTGTACTACTGGCTGACTATATATGTGATTTTACATTTGATGTAAAAATCCTAATTACATTGAGTCGTGCGATCGTTAAGTACTCTATTTAAGTATACGTGAGTTATAGTTATTCTACATATTTTACTGTAGGGTAATTTGCAAATGAGATGGACCACATGGAATTTAAATATTTAAAAAATACTGAATATCATATACACTGATCCATATAGACTGCGAGCACAGTACATAAAAATATACAAAATATCTAAAATAAATTACTATATCGTTCAGCGAATGAAATGAACGGAACTTGGGTTTCCTTTAATTGTTTTCTAGAAAATTTGCACAAGCAAATCTGTAGTATAACATCTTTACAAATAGATAAATAAAATTTTAGAGTATCGTTTAGTTTTCTCTGTTCCATCATAATGAATCATTTCGTTTTTATTAAACTGATTCATTATGTATAATTACATGAATATGTAATTCTTGTAAACAGACAAAAAATTATTTAGAGATGAAAAATGTTCGTGAAAATTTGAGAAATATTGATCAAGTTTATCTCTATCAGAATTACCCTACTACCCTCTGTAATCTATTTCTCTTTGTTTTTCTTAATTCATTAATTGAAATATCTTATATATATATATATAGTAGAATAATTATTGTGCTATATAGTCATTCTTTAAAAATTAAATAAAATACTTCACGATATTTCATACGATCCTATATAAACATTATACAATTTTCACGTGAAATATCTGTATTATTTCAATAACATTTCAGATTACAGAGAGAGTTAATTGTGTTCAATTGTTCTATAGTTCTATATCGTTGAAATATGCTCGAAACGAGCGCAAGGCTTGGCAAACGATTTAATTCCTAAAAAGTGGAATGAAAATTATTCTATTTAAAGCAAAAAAAGAAAGAAAGAACAAAAAAGATAAATAAACGATACTCGACCTCTCTCTAAAATTACGGAGTACGATAAAACAGAGTATATAATAGCGTTTGCTTAAAAAATTGTCCGCCGAATCGGTGCAATTCAAATGGCAATTTCGCCGGGAAAAAGCAGCCATCGATTACCCGTGAATCGAATTCCAGCGAATTTGAATAAAAGATCGGCTGTCAATTCCCGCCATTTCAATCTGATCAAATTTCGCGTATCGCTTAGTTTCTGCAAACTAACAAACTCGAAACAATTCATGGAGTACATGCACACACACACGCGCGCGCACAGAGAGAGAAAGGAAATAAAAGATATTAATCACTCGCTACTGGTTAATGCTAGATACAGTCATAATGATCGATTGTTCTCCATTCAAACGTCACACGTCTGTTAAAGCCTACGAAATATCTCCGATAGCCAACGTATTTTTACGATTCGTGAAATCGTGCAAATTTTTATGGGCACACCCCCGTTATACGAGTCTAATCATCGAGAACTATACGTTCGAAAACCTCTTTACGAAAATAGAATACGCTGCTATTGCAAGTCTTGGACTCGAAAAGATATTAAAAGTAATAATATTGATAATACATATATAGGTATTTACAATATCGTGTTGCACAAGTCTGGGTTAAATTGCTTAAAACAATTAGAAAATCTTTATAATCGTTAAATTTTGATCATTAAATTTTCCATTGATTAATGTAGCTTGTATCTAAAGAATGGATTTTCATGCATTCGTGAAAAATTTTAGAAATGCAAAAATGTAAATGAAAATAATACGAAAAAATATTTAAATTGTAATGTGTCTTACTAATAATTTGTAATAAGTGAATTGATTTTTTTACCTAAGTTGTAATTTCTTAATTATGTGCATAATCTACAGTCTAATTATATTATTATCAGTCTACTACATAGTCTAGTTTGTTCTTATCAAGTAGATATATATTCCACTTTAAAAAAAAAAGAACCAACAAGTTCTTTATTATATTTTAATTCGAAACTTCACTTCGAATATACGAATAAGAGTATGGCGCTAAAAATATAACCATTCACGCTTACAACTTTGATTATACTTATCCGAAAGACGAAAAATCGAAGAATGAACTCGCTACGAAATTTTTAACAGATCGATTGATTTTCTAATTATTTTGAGCATCGAAATTGAGCTCAACCACCATGATTTTCTTTGCAAATAATACGCTCTTTCATTTTTATGTATAGGATATCAAAAAATAGAAAGTAAATTTCACGAACGCTCAAGGATGAAAATAATGTATCGCATCGTTTACGAAAATACTGCCTTTTACAAGGAGCTGCGGCCCTTAAACTATATAATATTTTTTACGTGCACAGTGTACGTGTGTTTTATATATTGTTTAATTGTAAATAGATAACATGAGAGACAGAATCTCTGTAGAAAATCGTAGTATATATTGCTAATCGATTAATCTATAATTGTTAATCCTCGTTTACAAGAAGAGCACTAATCCCTAAGTGGATATTCAATTCAAATTAATCCCTTTGCAATGACGGATTATAAAATTAAATAAAAAGAGTTTAATGTAAATTAAATTTAATCACTTCTCGATTAAAAAACAATTTTTACCGTGCAAACCACATTTTATTCCAAAAATCTTCAATTGACGAGACAATTTAGTTATTATAACACAATCGTTACGATATTATAATTAAGCTGTTCCAGTGACGGAAAATTTTGACAAGAAGAATATATTTGTGCGATATAAGTCATTTTTGATAGAGAATGACTTACGATGAGATACAATGAGATTAATTAAAATCACAGCAAAGGAATTAATCGCGTTACTATGTACAATGATGTATTTTCATGTTCATAAAAAAATATATCTTCCCGGTATTACCAACTACCAATCCTGGAACGAGGCTTTTTCAAAGATTGCGGAGTATACCTATACAAAACTTGGTATGAAAATTTCGCGAAAATACATTGCGCTCTCTTGAGATTCTGCGATCGAGACGATTTTGATGAAATATTGATAAAAGAAATAGAAAGACCACCTTCAACAAATAATAATACGAATACAACGAAAACGAGTTAACCCATTCGCGTCATGAATCTACCATGACATTATCGGTTAATTTATGGGATTTTTTATATATCATTAGGCAACGAATTATCTCGTCAGATTATTTTAGCCTCGAAAAAATTTAAACATGATTTTCCACTGGAAGAAACAGTTACTTTCTCGTCTAAATCTTCATCAGTAAAATCAATAAATATTTAAATATCTTCGAAGCTGAAATACCCTAATTAATATAATGTATATCATGCAAAGTCTACTGTGATTATCATATGACGCGAAGAGGTTAACGTAATCTCAAATAATACTCAACATGATCGAGTTTTTGAACAAATTGATCAAACGGAGAAATCAATGTTTAAGAATGATAATAAAAATTCATTACCAAGCTTTTGCGAAATAATTGATCGAATAGCATTCTATCAAAAGAATATTTCTGAATTGTCGAGAATCTCTTGTGAGGGAAGATTCAAACGAATACTCTATGCGCTGTTGATTCGCTCGAAACAAAAAGAAGACCGACGTACGTAACCCAATTACGTCAACTTTGTTCTTAGGCCAGCCATCAGCTAATCTTCAATCAACCAGCTGAACACGCGAACTTATCGATCAGCCCCCTCTATTGTAAACGTTAATCAGTGAAAAATATAATTCGATCGTGTCATAGTTTCATCCCTCGTGGTTCCGAAATCAATATACTTAAATTCGATGATCGTTTTCATTTGAGAATTTAACTGGTGTCGGTTTGAACCATTGGGGACTAATTTTGGAACTTGCAATTTATTACTAATCGTGCTACGTAGAACACATTTAAAAGAAAAATACAAAATACACTCAATTATCCTAAATTTTAATAATCTAACACAAATTATCACAGTCATCTCTAACTCAATTTAATTCACAATTTAATCTTAACTGGTATTATGAGGCCACTGGAGATTAATTTTGGAATTTTTTGTTTAATTTAATTTATTTTTATCACAAATCTTTATCGCGAAGAACATAAATATAAAATACAATTGATTATTCTAAATTTTAATAATTTAACATAAATTATCGTAATCATGTATTCCTTAAGATACGAAATACTTGAATACTTGTAAATTTGCTTGTAATCAAAAAAATATTTCAATTTCAATTTCAATTATATTCCGTATTGAATAATTCAAATTATTTCATATATTATTTTAATCATAATTTACTATTTTAATAATTTTATTTAAACATGAATTATTTTATTTTCAGTATTACTTAGTACTTACATTTTTATATTTTGTTTCATTTTTAGCACTCTCAATTCCACGATGAACCACTAGGGATGAAAATATATACTTGTTCATGCAAAAATTCATTCAACAAATCTAGTAAACTGGATAGGCACGTTTGACGGCATAATAAGAAGCTTTTCAAGGAACCGTGTTTTCAAAAAATTGGGACGAATGAACCATCACAGGTAAGATTACGAATCGGTATTATCAACCCTCAAACAATCAAGAGATTATGCTCTCATTATTTTAAATTATTAATCTCTTTACTGAAATTTATGACACAAAGAGAATACGTAAATATTTAAAATTAAAATAAATTACGATTATTCAAGGGTTGAGGCACGAAGGCTCCACAATTTCCCAAGTTTTCCCAACCCTAATTCTATGTACAATATTCCTCAATCCTCAACAGAAACCTTAAGTACGTTTAACCCTGTGTAAAGAATACAAAAATTTCTGCAGTTTGTAATGTAAATTATACTATAGAAATCTTCGTATTCTCTTTTCGTCAAAAATCAACCACGACATGATATTCAAAGAAACAACTGTAAAAGTCATTCAACAAATTTATCACGCAATCATATAACAGATTTTAATTTCTTATTAATGAAACAAAATTTTGTTTAGATTTTTCAAACTCGAGTAATTTTAATGGAGGACATTTTCAAAAAGATTGATTTCTTTTCGATTATTTCTTCTCATTACTCCGAACCTATTCTAAGATACTTTTTATTACTTCAAAATTTTTTTCTTTTTTTCTTTTTTGACAAAAGATGACACAAACTTAGAGAGCTTGACGCTCTTTTGAATCATCGTTAACGATTTTTGGCTCCTTTTCTCCTACGTGAAAATTTGGAAGAATTAGTCTAATGTCATAGACAACAATTTTGATTCTGTCATCCACTAACTATCCACTAATTAAGCGTTCACATTGGCGAAAAATTCGTGAACACTTCAGTTCAAAATACAGAATCACGAATTCTGTCCTTTGCCACTACGAGACCAGTTTGAATTCTTAGCAAGATCTTTCGAATGTCTAACTTAAATATTATCTAATTACACACTCGGTTTAATATTGAATTTCAGAACTTCTACACGAATACGGGTTCCTCTATGTTTCTTTCAAGTCAATGCCCCAGACATCGATTTCAAAGTTGACCAACGAATCCAAACATTCATTCTAAATTCTCTTGCCGAACCATTTCAACACCCCAATACCTTTCCAACTGCTTTAAACTCTGTATTTTTATCACTCAAACCTACATAAGTTTGACAAATCCAATGTCTCAAATCTCAATTCGTACGCATTTTCACATTCTCCCAAAAAATGGCAAAGGTTCAAAAAAAAAAAAACTCCAATCCAAGAGTTATCAGGAAGTGCAAACGTACATTCTTCCAATCACACGCAAATCTTTCACACTCCATTGAAAGTGTTGTTCCTTCACTTAAACTCTACTTCAAAATTTCGTAAACTTTACTCTAAAGCGAAAATATTTCGGAAATGTCACTCTAGAGGTCAGTAACAGGTCCGGACAGTTTAACACCACTCTCGATCATCGACAACCATTCAGAAACCTTCTCTCTGTACGCTGTTCCTCCTTGCTCGTCCACTTTACCCTCGTCCTCTTCGTCCTTTCGCTGCTTTTCTTCCTGACGATCATTCCCCTCCGTCTCCTCTTGATCGTCGGACGAGGAGGAAGTGTTCCTCGCGCGTTTCACGTTCGCCAAGCACGGAATGGTTCCCTCTTGGCCGGTGGCATCGATCATCTTATCATGCAGAATGTCCATCAGCTTCTCCAGTCTGACAAATGACGAGTCAATGAACGTTACATGCGTTCGTTCACCTATCAATCACTACTCGGCCCAAACAAATCTCTGTAATGCTCTCTTTAGAAGCGGCAAAAGCAGCAGTGAGGTCAGCTGAAAGCCATGCTGCCAACTAGAAGAAACAGAAAAAGAATACACACGACCAAAGCCGGTCACTCTCGCGGTTCACCCTCGTCCAGTCGCGTTTTGCAGGATTATTTTTAGGGGTTGTACAGGATGTAAAATACGCTTGCTATACACAGAGAGAATAAATATACACACACACACACACACATACGTGTTTCTGATGTAAAAACAATTTTTTGGCAAGACTTTTTTAGCAGGATAAATGGTGCTCGTTGACACAACCCACTAAAAGCTAACGTGTTGCTACAATATACAATTGTTCGCGGAACTTTTTTTAAATATATCGTGTGTTTATATAATACATTTGGAAATTTCATTGACATGAGACCCGATTATGTGATTTGATTATATTGGTAGATTGAAAATATGCATGGAAACTACAAGACATCACAAAAAGGCAATTATCTATCTTAATATCGACGAAACCATCTTTAACACTTGTTACATGTTTAATCACTTGCGCTGGCAACTGATTGCGGACCATAACGAGTGACTAAACCGTATACAACAATTAGTCGCTTTCTTTTTTCGAACTCGTCGGTATATCACTGGATAGAAATTATTGAAAAGTAATAAATTTATTATTTGTTTTGCCTATTTTGTTTTACTTAAATATACTTAAAAATATTACAATTTTGGAACAAAAAATAAATTCTCGACGTGCGTGGCACGTCATTCCAGCGCAAGAGGTTAAGACTCGTGCAATAAATTATATGTTTAAGCTACTCGTGCAATAATCTTTTACTAATTTAAGATAAATCTTCAGATTGGTTTCCAATTTTTACCAATATAATCATTTAACAGACAACTGACTCTTCTATCCCTATGCGCTGAACAGTCTTTACGGTCAACAGAGTCACCATCCACCCCACAACTCCTGAATGAATTTTTCGCAAGAGTACAGCTCTCGCACGATAGAACTGAGAAGTTACATTATACACAAAAATAGCAAGGAGAATTTCAAATAATATTGAGAAGATCCTTTGAAATTTAGCAGGATTGTTCCTTGTCGGTGGCGTTAAACGCGTTTGTCACCGACAAACAGCCGGCCTCAGCAACTGTTTAAACAACGAATTAATTTGTTGTTTGCCGTTGTTGACGGGGATTCTACGGCGGCTGTTTGCCGTGGAAATTGTAGAAGAAAGAAAATATCAATTTTGTGCGTCCGCGCAAACACACACGCAACGCAGGCACCGGCTTAAAAACATTAAATTAATATAACATTTGATCATTTATTAAATTGCCGCGTACAAACTCGATACAACGAAGCAGAGACTGAGGGAGAAATATATATAAAAAGAGAGAGGAAAAAAGAAAGAGAGAGAGAGATAGGGAATGAGTAAGAGAAAGAGAAAAACGGAGAGGCGTGTATCTGTGGCGGTCGTTATTTCCACCGAACGAACGGATCGAAAAGATAAAAATTGACTTTGCTTGTTTAAACTGTACACACCGGGACTTTTATGATGTTTGAGCGAAACGACGGGGATACAACGAGTATAATCGATAATGATACGTTGATTCTTTCGATCTGGTCCTCGACCATCGATGAAAACCATTTGTGTTTCCTCTTTTTTTTTTTTTTTTTTTTGTTTTTTTTTTTTTTTTTTTTTGAAGAGGGATGCTGGATAACAATGGCGTTCAAAAATGCGTAACGAGACTAACATGTTTGGGGATATCGTCGGAAATTTTCAACTGACGTTAATGAACGAAATGAAATACCTATTGGGATGCTTCTTGGTATTTTAGTTGGTCGTTTTCAACTCTAGTACCATCCTTGAATTTTTATGAATCAGTCTTGCTCTCTTTTAATAAATTAAAGAAGAGTCTAACGAGAAAAACGAAAAATCACGAGTTTCAACAATGATTCTTTGATATTTATATATTTTCTTTTTAGATTTAAGGTGATTGAAAGATTCGTGAAAAATGATTCTTGTCCATTCTTATCTTTCTTCAAGAGAACAAAAGAATAAATTCTCAATACATTTGAATTCTTTGAAATAAAATACAAAGACATAACTGCATTGTGGAAGAGCTATATCTAAATCTTAAAATTATAGTCCTTACGGCAAAGACTTTTATGGAATTCGATATTACTGAGTAATTATAATAAATTATAATACAGTATCTAAAATACCTTAGTAACAACCAAAAACATTTAATGCGAATCGTTTTCATCATGGATCCTTCAGTTTAATTAACGATAGAAAAATGCGATTAAATAAAAAATAACTGAAAGATATAGCGGAGTCAGTTGTATCGAACTTATGGCTTAAAAAAAAAGCGTATTTATTTGAAAACGTAATAGTAGTGTAAAGAAAAATCTGTTTACTGGTTAGATACAGTAAAAGACTCTTAAACTTTATGATATTTGAACAGTGAAGAAAATCAGTTAGAAAACAAAAAAACACTTTAAATAACAGTTTTGTGTATAATGTTGAGGACATCTAAGTTAATTTAAAAATTATTTGTCTACATTGGATAAAAATTGAACGAGTTGAATATAGCTTGAGGAGAATTAAACTAAAAATATAATACAGACTTGAGAAACAATATACACCGAATACTAAATAATGAACAAATTGAAAAATCGAACGCATGCCACACACAAGCTGCAAAGCCATGCCAACGCGTACGTAATTTACACTATTTAAATGTACACACGCTTATGATATAATTAATTGCTACGTAGTGAAACTGAAAGCATCTGTAAATTCTAAAAATTATTTCTTCCACATTTCTTTCTTTTTCATGAATTCTTCAATTGTATATTTTAAAACACTACTTTACTCAATCAAAATTTCTGTATCTTTCATTTCCACTTCAAAGGTGTCGAATTTGTACAATAAGTAAGTAAAGAAGAGTTCAGGAGATATAGATCGTGAGAATACAATTGTTGATAAATAATTTTACGTATACAGACGGAATTCTCCCAAACTCTTCTTGTACTTCGAACAAAAACCATCGAGGGGAAAAATATACTTCCGTACGATCTTAAGCTTGGTTCACGCTATTTCTATCATTCAACGTTTAATTTCTAGCATCACCTTGTTTACATTAAAACTGGCGTTATATGATGTAATAATGTCCACTATAACAATTATCGATTAGAAAAAATAAAACAAATCTCTATATATCTTCTGTTTAGTTTCGAAACTGGATGTTACTATTATTTTACAAAATTCATCTATAAACATGTCAAGAATATTCCTAAGTGTATGTACACGATATAAAAATATTCCAATAATCTTCATTAGCTTATATGTACATATATAAAGAAAACTCCCAAGTTCATGCATTATATTCTACATTGGGAATATTCTTAAAATAATATTCCGTGTTAAAGATATTCTTAAGCTAGTAATATTAGCCCAATTGTTTTCGTGAAATAATAATATTCCACGTTAAGAGAAATGTCTCTAGAATTCCGTACAACTATTCACAATTATTCACTTCTGTTTTATCACTTTCATCTGTATATTCAAAATGTCTAATCCTAATCCCTAATGAAGACGAACCAAGCGAAAGCTCGCTCCTCGAGCCCGACGGAATCGCGCGAGACACGTCCGTGAGAAGGGAGAAAGGAAGAAACACAGAAGAAACAGTCTCTGTACAGACAAGAAAAACAGGCAGACAGAAAAGGAGTGGAACAACGATAGACCTACGTGCTATTCGACATGTACATAGTAGTAGCCTCTAGCAAGCCCCTTGAAGCCCCCCGTCGCTCAACGATGACCGTCGGCTCGCGTTTGCTTCGCAGGGGCCCCGCGCGTACGTAGCCTAAATGTAGGCGGTGGTGTAGGTGGCGCGTGAAGGTGCTGTCAGGACTCTGGAGGTCAGGATTCCCGTCGAGCAGAGATCTTTCGGCACGAAGGAGCCACCACCGACAACGGTCACTTCCGGGATCTCGGTGATGGCTCGGCTCGTTTCGTCGTCGACGTCGTCGTTCAGACGATTCCGATCCTCGTCCTCGCTCACCGTTCTTCGCACGTCTTTCGTCCCGATCTCGTTCCTCTCTCCCGTTGTTGTTGCTCCACCCTTGTCCGTTTCGCTGAACGATCTCTTGGGCAGAGAGCTACCCTTCTTCTTCCTCGACTTCTTCGACCCTACTCTCTGATGATGATGACCACCACGCGACAGTTCCAGCTCCTTCTTCGACTCCCTTGTTCTTTTCTCTTGCACGCTCGACGTCGTCTCCGGGCTCTTCGTCACAGTGGAATCTTCCGTTTTCAAATCGTCGTCTAGCGCGACACTCTCTTCCGTGAGCGACACTATCTTCTTCGAGCTGAGATTCAGCTCGTCCAGCAGGTTCTGATCGTCGAAAACAGAGTTCTCGTCCTCGTGTTGATCGGAACTCCTGGTCTCCAGCGTCAGTTCGATGCCAGAGATGTTAGAACTCTCCTCCAGACTGACATCCTGATGTCGTGATTCCGAGCTGGTGTTATTGGTGGCGATTACTGGCGACTGGTTGCTACTGCTGGTCACCAGAGCCTGATCGTCCAGGGACCAGGAAGCATTGATGGACGTGGTTGGGCTACTAGAATCGTCGGCTCGGTAAACGTTCGTCTTGTCAGCGACGAGATGCTGTGCCAGATCCGCGGTTCGGGAACATAGTGACGAGGTGAAGTGTTGTGGGACCATCGAGGAGAACGACGATGTCGATGACGGTGGTGCAGGGATCAGGCTACAGGTGTCGGATAGAGCGGTACGCACGGGGGTGCTGGTTACGTAGGATTGCGTAGTATCGAAAGTAGCGACAGGCGTGACCGATGCTGCGTTTACGCACTTTGCCACGTGATTCGCCTCGGCCAGGCACTTGGACGCCCGGGCCTCCTGCAGCTCCCGTCTCAGCGCCAGAGTTTCTTCCTCGAACGCGGCGATCTCGCGGCCTTCGTTGCTACGTGTCAATCAACACACAATTTCCACCATGTTTATATATATGTACATATGTGCACAGCGCACGTTCTGTCCATTAAACGGCATATGTATGTTTTTTTTTTTTTTGTTGGTTCTGCGTTTTTTTTTTTTTTTTTACTGTGGATGGGTATATATGTTTGGCGCATGCGATTCCCATTTTCACGTGCAGGGTTTGAGAACAGAGAGAACTCGAGAGCTTGACAAAGAGGAGAGCAGAGAGAAAAGTAAGAGAAAGCTGGGACAGGGAGGTGACATCGTGCTCAATTGTTTGCAACTTTTGGTTTTGTTGGATGGAGGTGGTCTCTCTTGAATTTTCATTTGACGATGGAGAAGCCTCTTTGAAATTCAGGTTCGAGTGGATGAAGGTTTATGGAAGTTATTAAATGCCCAAGTAATTCGCCATGTATTGTCCATTGGACGTGGTATTTTGGTACATGTGGTTTCGTTTTCACGTGCGGGGTGTAAAACAAACTTGATAAAAAAATGCGGTGAGAGATTGAAAGAATAAGAAAATTAGCTATTCCGTGCATTCTTGAAGTCTTTTTTGTTATTTAAACTGGATAGATGAAGTGCTTTCTCAAATTCAGACTTCAAATTATAAAATATTCAAGTAACTTTCAGCGATTTCCAGTGATTTTAGAATGGAAGGAGATGGTTTTTAAACGAAACAAGTAGCAACTTATTTATGTACTTGTAATTTGATTAGATTGAAACAAGATTGAATAATTATTTGGTGGTGACTAACTTAAAAATAGATTTTTAGATAAAAGGAAATGAATTGCAATTTACAAGCATGTGATGGATCTAGACTAAAAGGGAAAAAATTGCTGAAATATTATTAAACAATTCGTTGGTGTGTATTTCCTGATATGAGATATTAGACAGTATTTTACCAAAAGCATTTTATGAGTGTATTTACATAAACTAAAGTTAGTCATTAATTTTTGTGGAAGATTCAAAAAAAATGTTTAAAATATATCAGTTATTAAATGTTTGTGTAATATTTCGTAGAAAAATTAAATATTCTAAAGCTAGAAGCGAGTTATTGCTTATTCTGATTATTAGTAATGAACTAAAAAACTAATTCAATGATTTCCTAGAGATAAATTGACAATTGTAAAATTAAAGTGCAAAAACAGAGGGCAGAAAAAGATTGAAAAAAACGAGAAGAGAAAATAGAAAAGAAATATCAACAATTTACATAATCTTTTTCTCTTCTCGGGAAAAAATCCAACAAAAATATATAAATAAGTAAGTATAATAAACAAAAGAAAAATATATTAGATACAATACATAATATCTACTAAATATTGATATGTAAACTCTAAAATTTTCTTCTATTAATTTAAATTCTTCCAACAAAGCTATTTTGCTATTGGACATTTATCACTCGTGATCACAGTTTGAAAATTAGAACAAATCTCACATGGTCTGTCAATATCGGCAATATAACAAGATTTGAACGATAATTTATAAAATCACATGAATCTAATAATGATCAGTGCAAAATGTATATTAGACGAAAAACCACGTGTAAAATAATCCACAAAAAACCAATACTTGATAATAGAAGAAACGGTGAAAAGATACTAAAGTTTGCTACAGGAATGTGCAACAACTATATGCCAAACTATAAATGAGTACTCACTTTGCGTTCAGCTTTAACGTGGCTACCTCTTCCTCCAATTTTGCTATTCGCCTGTCGCTTTCTTCTTTCTCCTCCCTTAATTTCATTATTTGATTCTGAAACGAATCAATGAAAAATCTTCTAATTCACGATTAGAAAGAAATTATTAATGGGCAATGACAAGTTCATTCCATGCTACTTTCATACGTGTAAAATCTGCTTGATATTAAGAAATAAGTACCTAATTCATCTCATTCTTTCACAAATATATATCTTTTATAAAAAAAAAAATTCAACGTATCCGTATTTTAACATTTTTGTAAGAGTCCTCGAAGTATTAATAATAAAAATTGAATGCAATTATTATTTAATTTAGGAAATATTTAGAAATTATTTGGCACGCGAATTTGTCATAAATTGATGTATTAATTGTTAGAAATGTCTACATATGTATGTATTTGAACTTGTAATGAATTCTAAGAAAGACGGTTGGAAGAAATTTTGCTCGACGTCTCTGCCCGTCGGAAGAAGACTAGGATAAAGATAAAATGATAAGGGAGACAATAATATCCAGCACAGATAAGATGGCTCGGCTCGTTTCGAAAGAAATCAAACAATTTACATAGCAACCTGCAATTTTTCACGAGATAACGTGCTACGGGCTTTGCTCATGATTCTACAAAGTGTACAATTACCAAGAACTGTTAGAAAAGAAATATTTTTGAAAATAAATATTTAGTCGATGATCTACGTTTGTGCGAAGTGTGACAATCAGTTTTCTTTCCAAAATATCACTTCAAATTGTAAAATTTCCAACTAACACAATTATATTTTCTTTTACTACAGTTATTTTACTCCAATATTGATAGGAGATTTCCAATAATTATTTTTTATAAATGAAATAAAATAATTAATAATGACATAAAATAAAAAAAAGATGTTGAACGAACAATATTGTTGCATGATATATAATATGGAATAGATGAAATACGATGTTTCTAGCTACATTCCAAAAGTTTGTGAAATGTTAACTATTTATTAGAACTCAAAATATGTATTAAATATATTCCCTGTTTCAATTCAGAACCTCGTTCACTACCATTATGATCATTGATGATTAACATTCTACTTTTTGGAGTAATAAAAACGGAGTAACTCTCATTAGCTAAAAATTTTTGAACAATGCGGGTTACTCAGATAACATTGTCAGATAAATACAATAAATCAAATACGATATAACATTTTGCAAAAATTACATTATCAGAGTATACATGTTATCAGTATACATATATACTTCAATCGAAACATGTTAGAATATTACAGAATATTAGATCCTACTTGTAGTAAAAATTAGCACTCTCTAATCAAAATTTTATTTATACGCATAAAAGAGAAAGACTATTAGTTGACTATATAACTGTTTGCTCCAATTTAAAATCTGGGAGCTAACAAGTCATCTGACATTATTGTAATTGTGTATTGATGAAATACAGAGTAATAAGTATAGAAAATACAATTTCAAGCAATCATTATCGATGTTACAGAGAGTTAAAGAAATCATGGCTTTGATCATACATAACAAATTATCGAGCAATCAAACTGCATAAAATTTCTAAATACCCATGATCTATAATCCATAATGTCATCACATGAAATGTTGCGTATTGAAATTCTAACATTTAAATCATTCGCACTTTCATCCTACAATGTAACAAACAATCCTACGTACTTATGTAAGACCAATTATGTAAAATTCTTCGCCAACGCGTAAAAAAGGAATGTTTTCTCAGCAACGAGATCAAAAAATGGCGAGACAGTGCGAAGGACACGATTCCCGCGGATCGTCGCGACGGCCACTTGGACCGCGTGAAAACGCGTCGAAATGCCACAGAGCATGGCGGAAATTTACATGGTCGAAAGTGGAAGGTCCCGGAGGTTCAATTACGGAGATTGGCAACGCGACGGAGAGAGGCCAGCCTGGCGCGGACGGCCATCGCTTCGGCTGATGAGGCTAATGGATGGTTGAAACCCGAGAAGACAGAAGAGGAAAAAGAGGGAGAGGAAAGAGGCCAAGGGAGAGGCCGTGACAGCCGCTAAGTGCCTCATCCTTCACCCTTCTTCGTCCCTCCGCACATCGTAACCCGCGGGGAGAACCGTTCTCTTTCTCTGTCTTCTTCCTTTCTACCCCCGATGGCTGGACACCCTCATGTGAAACCTAATCATTTTTACCAAGCGTCACGGATATTTCGTATTACGTCTACATTAGGTTCTCCGGTATCAGGGCCGGGTTTTTATCGAGAACACGAGGCTGCCTTCCGATTCCTCCGGTGAGACCAATTAAGGGATGAAGTCGATTTTTTAATGTGACGGAAGATGCAATTGAAGTTAAGTTGTTAGAGAGAAGATCCATCTTTTTATGTAAAAACTATAGGACAATAGTAACAAAAGAGCAATTGTACTGTTAGATGTAAGAAGGGTTACAAAAAACTCACGCTCTTTTCGAGTAAAACACATAAGTAAACAGGTAATTCAATTAAGAGATGAAATCGATTTTTAATGTAAGGTATACGGGAAAATGCAATTGAAATGTGGGTTTCATTAGGTTAAAGGGGTTGTTACAATAAAGAAATCCATTTTCTATATGAAGATTATAGGAGCAAAAAATAATGATAAGAGAGCAATTGTACTATTTGATGCAAGAGCCACAACGATGTTACAAAGTTGTACTTTTATTTGATTTTATTATTTTATTCTGGTCATAATTTTAAAGATTTTCACAATATTAAAATTTTTGAAATATTGCGTTAACTCGTTGTTATATAAAAAAAAAACAATTTTAAACAACATGCCAACGTCGATTAATCAAATATTATCAAACTTCTATTTTTAAAATTAAGTATATTTCAAAAAATATCGATTATCATAATATACTTAGTTTTATTTTTGTTTTATAATATTTAATGAATTTATCATGAATTTTTTCAGAGTTTATTTTAGAATTTTTAAAATAAAGTAAATTCTTAGAGTTTCTCTTTGTAACATTATATAAAATTAATCGATATGCTCTTCAGATTTTTCAGATAGATTGCATCAAGAAATATATCGTTTACGTGAAGTATGGTTTACGCGTTACATCAAATATGTTTACATAATTAATGTGGTTTTTCTGAGAGTTAGATTCAAACCAGTGAAACTCGTGATAGAATTACTGAAATAGTTAAAATTAGTTTGATAGAAAAGGCAAATAATATTAGAAATTAATGTAAAATACATTACTGATTAATTATCAGCAAACAGCTGTTTATTTTCACCTAATACAATTAGATACCTACTTTTTCGTTTCATTCTTTCTATTTATCTTAAGGATAGTATACAAAGTTATACTCTACTAATTGAAGAAAATAGTTTTTTTTCATATATTACCACCTAATACAAAAGTATAAAAGCTAAAATTGGAGTAGATATTTCTTACCGATAAACGAAGAATCAAACATTCGAATAGAACGCTATTTCTCGTAAATATTTATAGAAGGTATAAATTAAGATTTGAAGATTACTTCAGCACATATAGATTCCTTTTCTAGATAATGAGAAATTAACTGAACGAGAATACTAATCTCGATTCAAGCATAAACAAGAATTATACCTTCTCTCAAGAATAATACACGATATTTTAGCCAATTTAGCAATGTAATGCTCCACATTAAACAGATCGCTGTGAAAAACTATTCAAGAACAAAGAAATATTATATTTAAACACGGATTGTCCCACTGAATCGCTAATTCTTTGCTAGATATAAATATGAATACGTTCTAAATACTTCGTTCTACTAGTATCAAGCTACGTCATTCATATAAATTCATTTCATTGTATTTCATATATTACGAAAAACAGGGAGGCATCTTTGTTTGAAGAGCACTATACAAAAATTCCAATGCAAACGCATAAATAATCAAATAAAAAAGAATGATGGTTGGAAAACGCGTATGGGTGAACTTGATCGATGAAAATTCGCGTGCAGATGATAATCGAGGAAGGGAAATTGTAAGAAACAGAAAAAAGGGGGAAAGGCCAAAGAGGGGAGAAACGAAGATCACCTGGCCGTCCTAATCAAACAGAACATACGAATGCTACGCAAACAATATGTCCATGAACACGTCGTGGAAATGCCGAAAGCGTTGGACGAAGCGGCACATTATTGTAGCCTAACTGCAACGTCAAAGGAGAATGAGAAAAAGTGGATTCTTTCTCTCGTTTTTTATCCGCTTTGTTTTCACTTCCCACGTTTTCTATATGCTGAATTTTTATCTTATTTCGAAATTTCCTGCCTTTTCCCCAGCGAACGAGGCTTTTTATAAACTCATGGACTTTCGAATCTATGATCGAGAAAACTAATATAAGGATGACACATTGTGTATGTTTAGGAAAAATGTTTACGATACTGAATCACGACTGTGAATCAATGTTTTGAACAACAGTATGAATTATCGCTCTTGCTTGTAATATATGTAAAGTTGTTTAGAGCACTATTCTTTCAGGCTCAAAGGCGAATTAATAAAGAGAATTATACTTGAAAATTTGTGTAAATTAGTTTAATACATACGTTTAAATTTGCTACTTCCAATGATCTTTGGTTTAGTTTTTCCTCAATCATGGATTTTACTTTTGAAACCAGTACCTCTTCGTAGGTTTTATTGGCTTGTCTGATTTCGCGAATGAAATCTGAAACAATTAAAGTATTTGTTACTACTTACAACTGTATAGATCTAATGCAAATGAAATTACAGTGACAACAATATGTGAAAGTAATATAAAAAGCTACTGTATTTATATATTTATTTATTTAATATTTATTAATATTACTATTTAATATTTATTATTATTTATTATACTATTTATTTAATATTTACCTGATAACATTCCTGGTTGATAATCTGAAGAACTACACACTGCTAGCTTTGCCTTCATGCTACCTATTTCAGACTTTGTTTCATTCAACTCCTTGAACAACTGACTATTGCTTTTTTTCAATTCTGTCATCTGAAGAAAAAATCAAATGATTATTCATTAATTTCTATAATGTTTTAAGCATGTTGTATATAGCTTATGTCTATATTTATAAAAAAAACTACCCACCTGTTCAATAAGGGATAGAACTAACTTATTGCTACGTCCAATTGTAGTAATGGAGCTGCCACTGTCAACACTATCAGAGTCTTCACTTTGGCTATGAACTGCAGCTTCTGCAGACCCAAGACCAGGATCTGAATACCTTCGATGCTCTGAATTTATCTCGTCCCCATTTATTCCACTGTTCTTGTTAGCAGTGGGTGGTAAACTTGTATAATCTCCATTCTGACAATTAGTAGAGACAGGAGATTCACCACCGTTTTCTTGTAAACTCGTATAACCATTTGCCATTGAATTCATACTCAAATTCATTGGTTGATTTTGATCACATTGTCGTCGAGGTCTACTATGAACAGTCCTAATACCAGGAACTGGCACTGGCTGATATAATCTATACATAGTTGGCAGTGAAACAGGTTCCATGGTATATGTCATGGGCATTTGTGTATAACCACACATGCTAGGATCAGACGTCGTTGTAAAGAGACGTTGTCCATTGTTCTGAAAGTTCTGTGGCATGTTGGACTGCCACAATAAGTGTGGATATTCCATACCGGGTATCGTATCGTTATTTTGATTATTCTGCATATTATTCATCCACGAGCCAAGTACATTGTTTTTCTTATTGGATCGTTTCTTGCTCTTCTTGGAATGACTACTAACATCTTCACGGTATCCTAACCTGCTAAAGATATCATCGAGATTATACATATTGATGATTATCAATCGTACCAATTACAGGAAATATCGCATCTTACCTTTTATCCATTTTTTTTCTTTTCTTTTTCTTTTTTTTTTTCTTTTACGGGATATTATACACCGTATTAGAGGTTAGTCGTGGATCAACACTCGTGATATACGTGACATGGATACTCGAACAGAATACCGTATCGTAACGCGTGCACTGGAATACTGACGTCTCGACAGCAAAACTCAAGCTTAGTAATATTCAACGTTACAGCATGAGTCGTAGTAATAGTAAATACGGACGGTAAACACTCGACCTGATCTACTCAATTCAGGATCAGTCGTTATCACTTTGCGACTGATTGGCTGAATGAATCCCTACTATTTCTCTGTCGCAAAATGTAATTACTTGTACGATGACTTCGTGAACATGTCCTTGTCTTGCAATCCCTAAACATAAATTACAATAAGTTGTACATTTAAATGGATAGATCGTTTTGCAAACATGCATTTGCTTTCTAATATAGATTTTAACCTCCGTTTGCGCATAAATGTGAGAAACATCATCGTTAGGTTTACTAACCTAAGAAAAATAAATTTTTCGGAAGATCAATCTGAAGTAAAAGATTCTTTCTCTGAAGTGAAAGAATCATTCAGTCACTTAACTTATTTATTTGAAAGAAATTTTCTTTCTTCTACAATTTAGGTAATAATCTTTGGGGGACTCAAGAGATATTGTGAAACACAAAATACTGTGAATGTAATTGAACTGATTTATTGTGTTTTTAATCTCTGATTTAGATTTTACGTTCTACGAAGAAAGAAAAAAATAATACAAAGTTATAAAGTGTTGAATATTCCAAATTTTTATTTACTTACAAATTTACGTTCGAATACCGCCTGCGAAGTCAAAACATTGTGCGCATGCGTCATAGCAATTCCTCCAAGCTTTCAGTGACGTGGCTTCAATGACGGCACGAGTTGTGCTGTTGCAGTGATATTGTGTTGTTTTAATCTAATTGTAAAGTAATGTTATAATCATGACGATTTTATAGTAGAGGTTATTTAAAGTCATTTCGAGCTGATCGTCGAGTACACGATAATTAAACGTTGATTCAATTTGGTATGTTTAACCTAAAATCACTGATTGTACCCACTGCACTTGTCACATATTTTAAAGTTGTATGATAGGAATTAGGTGTCAGTTAAGTTTGTTATTACATAGCAATTCTTGATTATAGCAACATGACTACTTATGAAGATTTCATTCAACAAAATGAAGACCGTGATGGAGTACGTATCACTTGGAATGTTTGGCCGTCATCACGTTTAGATGCCACCAGACTTGTTGTGCCATTGGGAACACTTTACCAACCAATCAAAGAAAGGCCAGATCTTCCACCAATACAATATGATCCTGTTCTATGTACAAGATCTACTTGTAGAGCAATTTTGAATCCATTGTGCCAAGTGGATTACCGTGCTAAACTATGGGTGTGCAATCTTTGCTTTCAGAGGAATCCTGTAAGAACAAAATTATCTTGATGATACGATTGAACATAACTATCTTTCCCTACAAAAATGATATTTTAATGTTTAATGTTTTCAGTTTCCTCCACAATATGCTGCTATTTCAGAACAGCATCAGCCAGCTGAACTCATACCAAAATTCTCTACAATTGAATATACCATAATGGTAATTAATATTTATGATTTAAGACAAAACATTTATGTCTTTATTGTCTCGTTATTATATTAATTGTTATTTTTATACAGAGAGCACAATGTCTACCACCTATTTTCTTATTGGTCGTGGATACATGTATGGATGATGAAGAACTAGGTTCTCTTAAGGATTCTTTACAAATGTCACTCTCACTCCTACCACCAAATGCTCTTATTGGACTTATTACATTTGGAAGAATGGTGCAAGTTCATGAATTAGGCTGCGAAGGATGTAGTAAAAGTTATGTTTTTCGTGGTACTAAAGATTTACAACCAAAACAAGTTCAAGATATGCTGGGTACATTTTCATTTTTCTGTAATAAAATAAAACAGTATGAAATAGATATTAATTATAGAGTGCTACAGGTATAGGCAGGCCAATACCAGGTCAAAATCCAAACCAGCAAAGAGGACCTGGTGGACAACCTCTTCCACCAGCTAATCGCTTTTTACAACCTGTACATAAGTGTGATATGAGTTTAACAGATCTTTTGGGAGAACTACAACGTGATCCATGGCCAGTTGGTCCAGGAAAACGTCCACTACGATCGACCGGTGTTGCGTTAGCTGTTGCTACTGGTCTTTTAGAAGCTAGTTATGCTAGCACAGGAGCTAGGTATATATTTCACTTACAAATATTGTATCTAAATGTTTTAAGTACAAACGTTATTCATGTTATTTTTAGAATAATGTTATTTGTTGGTGGACCTTGCTCTCAAGGACCTGGTCAAGTAGTAACGGACGACTTAAGACAACCAATCAGATCTCATCATGATATTCAAAAAGATAATGCTAAACATATGAAGAAGGCAACTAAACACTATGATTCTCTCGCGTCACGAGCCGCAACTAATGGCCACATAATAGACATATATTCGTGCGCTCTTGATCAAACCGGCCTGTTAGAAATGAGACAATGTTGTAACTCAACTGGTGGCCACATGGTCATGGGAGATTCTTTTAATTCTTCTCTGTTTAAACAAACGTTCCAGCGTGTGTTCGCGAAAGATCATAAAGGCGATTTAAAAATGGCATTTAATGCGACGTTAGAAGTAAAGACATCACGGGAAATCAAAGTTTCTGGAGCAATTGGTCCCTGTGTGTCTCTAGGCGTAAAAGGATCAAGTGTCGGAGAGCAGGAAGTAGGATTAGGTGGTACATGTCAATGGAAATTCTGTTCCCTTACGCCATCCACTACTACGGCATTGTTTTTTGAAGTTGTCAATCAACATACCGCGCCAATTCCTCAGGGTGGAAGAGGCTGCATTCAGTTTATCACACAATATCAACATAGTAGCGGTCAACGAAGAATCAGAGTTACGACGATCGCTAGAAAGTGTGTTAATATTGTTCGTCCAATTACCAAATATTATCGTTGAATTTTAAATAACAACATTCTTCATTATAGTTGGGCGGATGCATCAACATCTTTGCATCATATAAGCGCAGGTTTTGATCAAGAAGCAGCAGCTGTTCTTATGTCACGTTTAGCGGTATTTAGAGCAGAGAGTGATGATGGACCAGATGTTTTAAGATGGGTCGACCGTATGCTTATCAGATTAGTTTGTATTTTTTTTCCAAATTTGCATGTAATATTTCACGTATAGCAAATATTATTTTTAGTGAAAGCTAAATATTTCTGTTATAGTGCCAGAAATTTGGAGAGTATGCAAAGGATGATCCGAATAGTTTTAGGCTCGCGGAAAACTTTTCCTTGTATCCTCAATTTATGTATCACTTACGTAGATCGCAATTCTTACAAGTATTTAATAATTCCCCTGATGAAACTAGTTTTTATAGGTTAGTAATACCTTTGTACCTTTGTACTTTGATCAAAATGTTTCGTTATTAATCGAATTTTAAATATTATAGGCATATGCTCATGCGAGAAGATTTAACAAATTCTTTAATAATGGTGCAGCCAATTCTATATAGTTATGGATTTAGTGGTCCCCCGGAACCAGTTTTATTAGATACTTCATCTATTCAACCAGACAGAATTTTGTTGATGGATACTTTCTTCCAAATCCTTATATTCCACGGAGAGGTAACTATTTGTTATTGCTATTTATGATAATTTATAATAAATGATATGACTTTAATGTATCTTAATCTATTACAGACTATTGCACAATGGCGCCAATTAAAATATCAAGATTTGCCAGAATACGAAAATTTCAGACAATTATTGGCAGCACCTGTCGATGATGCGGCTGAAATATTAGCTGAACGGTTCCCTGCACCTAGATATATCGATACTGAACAGGGTGGTTCGCAAGCGAGGTTCTTATTGAGCAAAGTAAACCCAAGTCAAACTCACAATAATATGTATGCCTACGGAGCGGTAAGTAAACTTAGTTTTTCGTTTTTATTCTAAATAATACGTCCAATTTACAATATTGAATTTGTATATCAATCTATTTTATCTGTTATTCATTTTCAACAACATTAAGTGTAAATGAATCATACGTAACCAATAATTTTTTTTATCACTATTTTTATTATCGTGATCCTGCAACCAGGGGATGCCGATACCCAGTGGGGTGTGTTTTTCATTCATTTGATATTCTTTTTTATTTTTATATATTTGCTTTCACTGCTTTGGTAATGGAATTTGGTGGGGAAAGCTTATGAATTTAAACAATTGATATCTACCTATACAATAAAATATTTATTTTCTCTTTATCACATTTTTTAACAATAATAAAATAACTAACATGTATTAACTGTTATTCCGAAAGTTCACAGGAACATTAATATGGGTCGTTTTTATTTCACACTCTTATAAAGCAAGCATTCTACATAATTATTTTTCGTAGCAGTATTGTCACAATTCACTGGTGGTTGGCATCGAGACATCTTTTTTTTTCAAAATATATTTTTATGAATTATTAACTAACTCTAATTTTTTTCCTTTTCTTTTTTCTATCGTATGGTTTGGGAATAAAACATTAGTTTTTCTTTATTTCAACAATTATAACTTCTAATTAATTATTATTACAATTTAGGAAAGTGGAGCGCCTGTTTTAACTGACGATGTCAGTCTACAAGTATTCATGGAGCATTTAAAAAAATTGGCTGTATCATCCACAGCTTAAATTGCAGCAATACAAAAAATATTTTATAATTATGTCCCCTCATCGTTTTGCACATGCAGAATTTAATGTCTCAGACATAGGCATGTCTCAGATGAGGCACTTATAATTGCAATCTATTAAGAAAAATAAAATAGATACAGTATGGATTTCCATTGTAATGAAAATATATGACTAATTAAATGTAACTCTTCAATATTTTTTTCCAAAATCAAGGTATAATTCATGTACAAATAAGTATTAATGTAAGACATATTTTACATTCATGTTGTAATTTTTTAACGTGTCATTAATGTCGTAACTTATTTTTCAATAGTACTTTTTATTATAAATGGTCAGCTTCATTTTTTCTCTAGAAGATTGTAAACAATAAATAATAAAATGAATAATAGATATTGTAAATTACCAAAATCTGTCATCGTAGTGAAATTGTATAACTGTACTATTTTTTATTAATTAAAATTATTAACTGTTTTAATAATAGTTTTAAAGGAAATGGAATTTTCTATATTTTTCTTTTCATTGTACCATTAAATACTAAACATTATTCAACTTTCTTCCAATGTAAAATAAACGAAGAGATGTAAGAAAAAAAATTGTTATATTCATTATTATTAATTATGATAAATCTTTATACGTGTCCAATACATCAGCAAATTGTGCATTTATAAAAGAAGATAAAATAAAATAAATTAACTAAGGAATCGTATGGACATTTTTTGCTCCACATCTGTCCTTTCTAATGCTTTACAAAATTCCTCAAATGAAATCATTCCATCACCATTTTCATCAGCCTCAACTATAGTTCTCTCTGCAATGCTAGTTAACTGTTCTTCGCTAAAATAAATCAATGAGGATTGTTTAAACATATAATTATTATTTCTTATTAAAACTGATCAAAACTATTTTCTTACCTAATATTTGCACCAACCATCATGTGTAAAATAGCTAAGAGTTCATCCTTTGAAATTAAATCATCATTATCCAAATCATACATTTTGAAAGCAACTGGAAATAATAATGAACTTGTGATATATCAAGATCTTTTTAATCCAATCTTTCTGTCATATTATTCCCTTACATTTCAGTTTCTCTTGTCTAGAGTTTAGTCTGTTAGGGCTATTCTTCTTAATGGGCCTGAAGTGAGCCAGCACTTGCATAAATTGTAAGAAATTCACCCTATCGTTACCACTTTCTTCAAAGAAAGCATTTACAATTCTATCACCAAGAGGATTTATTGCTAGTTCTGGAATCCTAAGGAAATCTTCTCTGCTAAGCGTTCCACAATCACCCCTATCAAGACTTGTGAAACGACTGTACAAGCGTTCAATTTGGTTTGGTGTAACTGTAATCATGCAAGGTTTAATTCTTGTATATAAATACCTATAATGTAGCAATACATACGTATATGAATAATGGAAGTAAATACTTTCAAGCATAAATAAATAAAATAAATACTTATTACACTTTTCATGACATAAAACATGTATATATATAATGACTATTATGTTACAAATAATAATGGTTAGAAATGATGAATACGTTATTTCTTAAATAGAGCAACGGATATAAACATCCCGAAATAACATATTTTGCAAATAAAACTTACATCCAGTGGCTTCTTGGATTTGCGCTATTTCTTCCTCACGTAAAAGAAGACTCGATCTGTTACCCATATTTTTCGGTATACTAATTAAAGTATTTTTCAATAAAATAATCTAACAATTCCGACTGAATTAGTTTCAATTCATAATTAGTTTCTTAGGTCAAAGTACAGTTTCCTAAGATAATATCTTAACAAGTTAAATGCAATCACAAATGTCAAAGATAATGGAAATACCAAACTCAAGCCTGACGGCTAATAAAATTTTAATGTTGCGGACAGGTGTTATTATATAAAAAAAAGCTGAACGTAATTGAAGTTAATATGACGGAATTAAGTAATCCATTTTGTTTGAAAAAGATTTTATACACTAAATTCTGTATAAATATCTACTTGCAATGAATTCATTGCTAACGTAATGCCGAACATAACTATGTATATTCAATGAAATATGCCACGTACCAAACTTGAAGTGAAAAAAAAATAAACTTTGTATTCTAGGGAACTATGGTCATTGACTAAGCGTAGGATAGATTCAAGATATGATGCTTTTTCGCGATCCAGGTATATTGTTCAATTTCTCTTGAACTACGTTCAAAATCTTCAAATTAAACGTGAATTTTGAAATATTAGCTTTAAAATTCATTTACATAGATCGCAAATTAATCAGGTGGAAATGAAAAGTTTACAGTGTTTCTTAATTTTAATCCCAACCTGTTTGATCTACATATATAAATAGAACTTGTAAATTTTCATGAATGTATTCTACAAATCAAATAAAATATGGAAAAAAGCTGAGGGTCTAATTGTGAAGATACAATTATAAATGTTTGCAAATTAATCCCCTTTAATATTTTTTTGGCAAACGAAAATTGAATTTATAGGCTTTACAAAATTTTGCATTGAAAATTTGATCGATCTGTGGGCACTGAAATACTAGCTCCACGTAGCGGTGAAACGGTGGAACTAATTTATATAGTTGTCCTTATCACATGCTGTTGCTCTCTCTGTCTACCGCGTGATATGACTGTCCTTGTCGCACGCTGTTGCTCTCCTTGTCTACCGCGGCTACATGTCTGTCCTTATCGCACGCTGTTGCCCTCCTTGTCTACCGCGACCATATGCCTGTCTTTGTCGCACGCTGTTGCCGTCCTTGTCTACCGCGGCTATATGTCTGTCCTTGTTGCACGCTAGTGCTCTCCTTGTCTAATGGCGCTAGACAAGGAAAGCAACAGTGTGCGAGAAGGACAACCTTCGATCTATTGAAAAAAAAATTCAACTTTTTATACAGACGTTTTTCCAGGACAAAACACACATAGAATGAAAGCGGAGAGCCTAATTTTAAGGAGGCATATAAAAAAGTTCGCAAATTATTCCTCTTAATTAGGTTTTTTTCATAATAAGTGCGAACTGTCACAAAATGGACATCGTGGCGCCATCTAGCGGTCACCCAGTGGTACTAATTATTTATAAAAATACTTATTTCTGCATTTTGCGGGTGAAATGGGGTATGAAAAGAAAGCTAGGGGTCTAATTAGGGTAATACAATCACAAAATTTCACAATTCATTTGGCTAAATTAGGTTTTTTGGCAAATGAAAATTTCTCTGTTTTACGGGGTAAGAAAAACTAGCGCCGCACGGTGGCGCCATCTATTGAGAACATAGTGGTACTAAAAACAGAATTTTCTACTTTTAGTACCATCAAGTCATCAATAGATGGCGCCACCGTGCGGCGCTAGTTTTTCTTACCCCGTAAAACAGAGAAATTTTCATTTGCCAAAAAACCTAATTTAGCCAAATGAATTGTGAAATTTTGTGATTGTATTACCCTAATTAGACCCCTAGCTTTCTTTTCATACCCCATTTCACCCGCAAAATGCAGAAATAAGTATTTTTATAAATAATTAGTACCACTAGGTCACCACTAGATGGCGCCACCATGTCCATTTTGTGACAGTTCGCACTTATTATGAAAAAAACCTAATTAAGAGGAATAATTTGCGAACTTTTTTATATGTCTCCTTAAAATTAGGCTCTCCGCTTTCATTCTATGTGTGTTTTGTCCTGGAAAAACGTCTGTATAAAAAGTTGAATTTTTTTTTCAATAGATCGAAGGTTGTCCTTCTCGCACACTGTTGCACACTCTAGCGCCATTAGACAAGGAGAGCACTAGCGTGCAACAAGGACAGACATATAGCCGCGGTAGACAAGGACGGCAACAGCGTGCGACAAAGACAGGCATATGGTCGCGATAGCAAAGGGAGCAACAGCGTGTGACAAGGACAACAATATAAATTAATTCCGGCACCTATCCTAGGGGTGATCCACACGGTGCATTCTTAAAGGGGATTAATTTGTGAATATTTATAATTGTATCTTCATATTTAGATCCTCAGCTTTCTTTCTATGTTATACTTGACCTACAAAATGTATGCATAAAGATTTACAAATTCCACTCATTATCAGCTAAGCTTGCTCAAATTTGTAAAAAATCATTCGACAAGAAATTGTATAGAAATAATAAATTCTTTTTACTTGGTTATATCAAAGTTTAGATAATTAATATCATTTGTCCATATTTGTCTATCTTTCCTTTATTTATTAAATATTTATTTATTTGAAGAAGCTTTTTCTTTTTGCTTTATTAAAAACTCGTTTGCTTGAACAAGAAAGCTGTTATGCAAATTCACACGAATCATATTTATTAATTATTTATACACGACCCTGTATTATTATTTGTTTCACAAAATCGTTTCGTTTCTATGAATTTGAAATTCCCGCTACGATTCTCTAATTCCAACGTCAGTGATCAGGAAGTGACGTTCTCACAGCGTAGTATCCACGTAGCGCCTCAAGTTCTGACGAGCGCAGTTTTTCATACGTCAAACAATACTTTGTAAAGCGTTCTTGGGTCGTGTGTAACGTGAGTATTGTGTTTTGGGAAGGAACTTCTTGATCTTTTTGGAGAAAAGTAAGAAAAATATTGACGACACATCAGTGGACATTTGTCATAACCTATAAATCCAGTTTTTATTATTAACAGCTCAAAATGTATATACATACATATATATATACGTATAATATTCCATTTAGTTCGAGCAAAGTATAATAGAGTTTTGGCTACATTATAATTTCAAAAGCATATGTAATTTTGCACACCGCTCGCATAAAATTTTATAAATACCCTGTTCGTTCGTTCTAATTATAAAAATCAAGCGCAGTTATAACTTGATGAATGCGAATCTCATTACACGAATACTGTTTTCAGTTACATTAGCATAATGGATCAAGTGAAGAAGCTCACTGAACCAGGACGTCAATTCGCAAAAGACAGTATTCGTCTCATTAAACGATGCACAAAGCCTGACAGAAAAGGTGAGTTTTTAATAGTTGGCCAGCAAGTAAATTACAGCTCTTATCTTATTACTTGTGTTTTGCAGAATTCCAGAAAATTGCCATTGCCACTGCCATCGGTTTTTGCATAATGGGATTCATAGGATTTTTTGTCAAATTAATCCATATTCCAATCAATAACATCATTGTGTAAGTAGTCTTGGTCCCATACTTTTTATATTATCTTAAATGATTGTATTTATACATTTTCATCTTCTTTTTCAGGGGTTCATAAGCTCATGTAAATTAGGTGCAATTAAGATTTAATATGGTTGTCTCCCTTCATCCCCCCCCCTCCCCTACATATTTTTATTTATAAGATAAAATTATGTATTTTGTTTTCAACTGATTGCGATTGAGATACGAGAATGTGTGTGTATAATATTAATATTGAATTTTCTAATAAAATGAGTGTATAATACTTCATTGTTATGTCTTTAGCCTTAGTAAAGCCTTTTCCAAAACCTGAATGGTACAGAGCAAAAATGAACATTAGATAATTAGTATTGAAGGCACTTTTATTTAAAGAATAAAATTTTCCCTTGGGGGTTACAACGATAAGATTTTGTCAGCCATTTTTCTAGTTTCAATTCAATACATTTCTCCTAAGGAAAAATAGCTGTCGCATGGAAAACCATGGCCAGGTACTCAGTAATAAAAAGACAATAGTACGATTTTGTTACGATGAATAAAATCTTATATACTGCTTGCTATTTGTTATTAAAGTTATTCTGCGCTTATCTTCTAGAAAGACTTTGTTTTTTTAATATACTTTACTATGAAAACAACGAACCTATAAGCCAGATACTATAAGCGATTGTATCTGGGATTTTAATAATGGCAGTATATATTGGATGCGCAAACGTAATTATATCAAAATACACTTTATATTTTATTTCAAAAAAATCATCAATTTTGTCCGTGATAATTTGACAAGTAATTTTTGTTTGAAATGAAAAATGCAACATTTTTGAACAGTCTGCATATTTAAGATCGGTTGTGCATTTTTAACACGTCAATAATAATCAATTCGACTCTTTCCGAACTTTTCTTTCAATGTGTCAACGATAGAAAAAAATTCGTATATAAATATAAACTCTGTTTCAATATATCTGATATACTATTACTTTCAGAACTCTGCATTAGTAAATAGACATCGATAATATACGCTTAACATGTGTATTAAACTATTAAATACTCTCTTCGGGCAACTTAATAAAATTTATATAAAAAGCAAATATATATATATATAATATATATGTAGCACCACACGTGTGTGACTGTTACGTGTTCGTCCTGCGCGTTTAAAAAAAAAAAAAGAAAACAAGATCAATCTTAATGCTCGTGGACGCTATTTAATCTCGTGAAAGAAGAACAAGAGGAAGACTTTGTCTCACTTCCGTTTTACGAAGTGCAAGAAAAATCTCCTCCTTCTTTAAATCAATCGGCGGTAACATTCCGAGTGAATGAAAAGCATCTTTTTAGTCCGTGGACTCGAAAAAGCGTTTCACTATTAAAAATAGCGTTCGGCTAAGTATTAAACTAGCTTCTGTAAATTGTAAGAACGCGTAAGCGTAACCCAAAGTGCGTTTACAAATTCATTTCCATCGATAATCTTGTTTAAAAAGAGTAAAAAATATTCTCTGATCGATATTTCTAATGGTTCTTTGGCATTCCTTCTTGTTGCTATTATATCTTTCGCATGTTTAAAAAAAAAAAAAAACAGAATTCAAGACCCAGAGTTACAATGTAAAAAAAAATTAATTTATTCAATTGCAAACGCACCGAGGGGAGGGTAACTACCCACGAAATTGAGGTATGTCGTTCGGTCATTGTCATTAATCGTCATGTATACATCGTGTTTTCATTAACTGTTAATGACACGTACGTGTTTGACATGTGCGTGTCTGCGAGTGTAAATAAAATAATATATGGTAATCTGTATAAAATATGCACATTTCATAATATTAAATATATCATGTCCGATTATTCGTATAATTATAAGTATCCTTTGAGAACGCGTTTCGCGATCGCGTCTCAATGCACGTGAAAATAGTCGTGATCAATATCAGAAGACTTATATGCTGAGTTACAAATTATACTTTTCTGTTCTCACTGGTGAATCGAGAGGGAACGATCGCGTAAAAATAATAACGGCACCTGACGCGAACTGCCGTTTGTAAAAGAAGTTCTCGACATTTGCTTAAAACAACGGAGCATCTTTGCAATGTTCGATCTTTTTTTTTTTTTTTGATTACATTATCTTTTGATTCGCAAGCTTCTTTTTCAAAAAAGAAAAAGAGATTTCGTACAATATGATAAAAAAAAATTAAATACAAGAGCTTCGTCTCTTTTTTTATATATTCAACATTAATGAATCGCGTATCGCAAAAACGATCCGTTTCTATCTTATATTTATCGATTACATTAATTATATCTTAGAATGTCACAGTACTTATGTTCAAGGAATCGGTTACTTACTTTCAAGAAAGGGTTACTTTCAAGGAATGTCTTCAAGCGTTCTACATCGAACGATTTCGAGTATAAAGGGACGTGTTAAAAAAAAAAGAAGAAAAAATAGAGTGAAAGAAGGAGACAGGAGCGCGCTGTTATTACAATAATCAACTTACGAGCTACAGACTTGCGATTAACAGAGACGCGGAGATCCAAGAGATTCGATTTACCGAAAAAGAAATCATGGCCCTTGCAATAATTTACCAACTAACAATATTAATGAATTAACAAATGGTAAATTGTAGTGACAGACTTCTCTTTTATAATTTTATAATTCTTAATCGATTATATAGATGAAAATCAATTTTGTAACTTTAACAATTTCATTAATAGCTTATTCCATGCCGCAAAAGGACAGAATAATTTCAAAAACTCGTACAAAAATTGCTAAATCCTACGTATTCCATCAACCAACATATAGTATTTCTTTCTTACGTCTTCTTGGAATGCATACAACTGTTCTTTCATCGTCAAAGGATTTCAGATGTTTAACCGAGCCATGTGTCATCTTCTTCAACCGATAAAACGAATCTCCGTAATGGCGTGGTGAACGTTGTTAAAACGTCGATAAAGCTACTAAACCGTGCAACCAGCGTCTGAGGTCGGCACGAAGGGACTTTCTTGCCGATAAAAGTCGCTCTCGTACTCTTCCACCTTCACTGGGTATTCTGTCACGCAGTTTTGAGGCTGGTTCAGTGCGGGTGGCGGCTGAACGAAGTTCTCCTGGTAACTGGGCAACTGCAACGGTTCTGCAAACTGCTGGTACGAGTTGTCTGTGCCGCCTTGCTTCAAGCACGTCGGCCCATGGAGATTCAACATGTCCACTAGCCTGCGTCTCTGCGTCTCTAATTCCTGGATCTGTGATTTCAAGTCGTGGTTCTGCGTTTCGAGGATCTCCGACTCCTGCACCAACGTCACCGTCTTCTCGCGCTTCTTCAACCGACACTTGGTTGCGGCTATCTTGTTCCTCTCGCGTCTTCTTCGGCGTCTCTCCTCGTCCTCTGGCGTTAGCTACAAGAATTTTGGATCTTTAAGAAAGGTTTCTAGCCTTGCTATTATTGTTAGAAACTGTTTTTTATACAGCAGTTTGCAAAAGTTCTAGATCGTCTAATATTAATGCTAATCTAGTAATAGTGAATAATATTGCTGTGAATGGTAAATGGTAAATCTTCAGACATTCTCTTTATGACGTTTCTTGTAGTTCTAATTCATACATTTTTTAAAAATACTTAAATATACAGAGTGTTAAATTATATCTTGATATAAAATATAGTAATTCTTGAGAAATAAAAAATTTACTATTTCTAACCCCGTTTGTTCCCCAAAATGAAACATTTTTACTTGGTAGATGACTTAGAACTTTTACATAATATATACAATGTTACATCAATACTGTAATGTAATATAAAAGTAGTTTATTTTATGGATTCAAGATCGTTTTAACGTTTGAGTTCTTAATGAGAGTAATAATTGATAGAGAACTGAGTGGAATGAGTGTCCGGTCTGACTTGAAAAACCCGTGAGAAATCGGTGAAACGGCGACTTACAGCGCGGATCGCCCAACATCATGACTGCTTTATCGTATTAACGAGAACAGTATGTGAAGATTTCTTACTCCACCGCGGTTGTTGTTGTTGCTGGTTTCCTCCTCTTCCTCGTCGTCTGCGCTTCCGTCTTCCTTCTTTGTCTTCTTCTTCATATCATCCCCGGTCCCGTTGGCTCTCCTTTTTGTCTGCAGCGTCAACTTCAATCCTGCAATGTTTAAACATTAATTAATCGCGTGCATCATTACTGAAAATGGTAATATTATAATTTCTGGAAAATATGGAATATAGTATATCGTTCACTAAACTATCTACTCTTAAATCGGCCTGCAAGCAATATAAGATAAGCAGATCAATTAAATAAGAATATTGAATAACCTTAAGATTAAAATTTCTATTCAAACATAAAACAAATTATAACCAAATATTTTTCTTTCTCGAGATCACTATTTTTAAAAGTATAATTAACAGCGGATTTTTAATTTCATGAACGGCAGAGATTCGTTTTATCGTAATAAATACTCTATAACGAATATATTCCACTTCGGATATATAGATATATAAAAATATCGTATGCATTTGTCAAATTTGATTGAAAATCCGCATTATCATTATGATAGATATCACGAAGGATCTTTTTAAAATATTTCTAAAAAAAAAAAAAGAAAAAAGAAAAAACTTGCAAACCAAAGAAAGATCTTCAAAAAAATCAGTAAAAAAAATCTTCTCACAAAAAATATCCATCTCACGTCACACCTGGTGAAGATAAACTAAAAACTGTTGCACGATAGATGCTACGTGTTATATAAACGAGAATCGGCGCTAAATCTCGGATAACCTTGGCTACCTATCGCGAGGCTCGCCGGTAAGGAAAGAAGAGCAAGAAATTCGGCAACAACAGAGGACTCGAGGTTGGATATTATCAAGGCCACCACCGGATGGGTACCTTCTTTAATGAGCTGACTACAGGTGTGCTGAACACTCGGCGGGCTCGGCTCACCGCTGCTAGTCGAGTCTGTACGGTCCCTGCTCCTCTCGTTCGTGTAACCCTCGAAGGGATTGGTCATGGCGATTAGGGAGTTTACGATTTCCGGTGTCCTTGGTGTGACCTCGGCCGCCGCGACACCGAGAAGACCCGCGGCAGCCGTCGGACTAGGATTCACGTTCACATTCAGGTTGTACATGGTTGGTTTAGATTACCATTTAACCTGGAACAAGAACAGAGATTAAGAGTGCGGATGTGCGGTTGATGGTTCGAGTTGGTTGCGTGTGAATGTGAAGTCTCTCTCTTTTGTAGCGTACGAGTTTTTGATGGTGTTGTTAAGTTCCTCCGACTCGCGGTATATGTTATAGTCTGTTGAATATGTAGAGAACCTTGTGATATGGTTGAGTGGTTATTTATTTGTTTGCTACTTCACAGAGTAGTTTAATTATATTATTTATTAAAGCAGTTTAATTATTACTTTTTATTATTTATTAGAGTAGTTTAATTATTATATTTTATTGTGTGGAAAATTATAGGGAGCACATAATATATATATATACGAAGGTATAAAAAATATTCGACGTGTAATAAAGCTGTTATAATATTTAATAGGAAAAACTTTGATTAAAGAAAGAAAGTTTGGTTCAATTGTAATAATAATTAGAAAATAATGAAATAATTAATGAAAATGAACGATAATACAATTCGAAGCAAATCTTTGGTAAACGTTATTATATACAATTTATCGCATGATCTTATAATGTTAACTTTGCTCGTTCTATAAATAATTATTTCCGTCGGGAACAAAAGGAAACCAGACTTTTCTCACGTTTGATCGACAAACGAGCCCCCACCAGTCTCGTAATTATCCATGAAATACTTGAAAAATTAAAAAAAAAAGGGGGAACATAATAAAAAGAAAAAAAAATAAAAACAACAGAAGTTTCTTTTTTCGATTTGGTTGTTTCTAGTTCCTGTCGATTTATCTTTGATTGAGATATGTCGAGAGAATATGGAATAGTTCTCGTTGATAAAAACGAAATGAAATCTCTGTTCTACTATCTGCGAGTCTTGGAGAATTGTGGATGTTTGTGCATTTCTGCACAAAAAATTTGGGCATACAAAAATTTGCAGAATATAAGTAACATGAAAAAATATAGATTAATAGATAATATTACATGATATTAAGTTGAAACATAATAAAAAGTGAAGCATACACTCTAACATTTAGATGAATGAAATTATTATTATGTTTACAATATTTTTAATAAAATATTATTATCAGTATAACAAAATATTACTATATAAAATTACAATATTATATTTAGTAAGAAGATTATTAATCACTGTATCACGTAATTAATATATCAATCAATTAATCAAATACTGAATACGAATTTTACAATTAAATACATTAAAATTCACGCAATTTAGCAATATGTTAATTTCCTTTCAATTTTTAACTATTTCATCTCGGTCATTGTGCATTAATATGTAGAAACAAATTAACACATTTTTTAGCGTGTTGAGTAACAATTCAATGGTGATTTACTGGACCTAACTGGATCTCTATTCCTCTTATTGTGCATTCTTCTTTCCGGGGAACGAGAAGTTTATTGATACGTCCTTGAAAACATGGCTATTGAGCTCGAATGAATACGACTACAAAGAGGAATTCAAATCGAATCGTGGAACACTGATAACGAAACCGGAAGCTGAAGATGCTTATCGAAGTGGGACCAGTCAATCGATTGTCAAAAGATACTGCATTTTGAATTTTAATATTCATCGTGCATCACTCTCGAAGTTATCTACATTTGTCTTTAAAATTATTATACAATTATACATTTGCCAATTGAAAATCGTGTTTTTAAAATATAAAAAAATTCGTCTAATTTTAAACTTGCCTTTTTTACGACACTGTCACGAAATTTACACAATTTCTTTTTATAATTATATTATCTTAAACAATTAATTAAAATTTGAAATACTGTTCATCATCAAATATTTTCAAGTATGGACATCGAACAAAAGAACCATCAAATGTATAAATAAAATTAATCTCTAGATCTTTACTATGTCAATTTCCAAGAAACTTTTACGAGTTTCACAGAAAATTTCGAGATGAAAGATAACATCTCATCTCCCCTTTAATATTAATTTAATTTCTCATATCTCTTCTCTCACATTTTCCCAAAAATCACAGAAATATGAGAAAAATTATCTCTGAATCTCCATCAAATCCTACTACCAACCATGAACTTTCGCAGAAAGTTCCAAACTAAAAAACAACGTCTCCATTTCCCGCCTAACAAATCTCCTCCGGAAAATTATAGAAATACAAATAAAATGCTCCCTTCGACCTCAATTTCCAACAAGAAAATTCAATTCAACCTCCAACTCTCGGAATCAACTTGCGCAAACCTCGCCGCAGGAAGTTGCAAACCGAGTTCATTCTGCGTGAAATCCCGCATGAAATTTCGTTTCTCGCATTCGTTATCTCGGGCGCGGAACCTGCCACCTTCCTACAACCTTTCCAGAGGCGCGAGAGCAACGTTTACGTAACCCGATTTGCAAAAATAACAAGACGCGAAAAACGGACGTGCAGGACGCGCGAAAAAAAATCCATCGTCCGCGGAGCGGAGGCGGCGAAGAGGAACAAGAGAGCAGAGAACGTTAAAAGCTTGTCAAACGGCCGTCAAAAATACATTTTGACGCGCGTACGGCCCCATGTCGTGTCCTCTAAAACGCACATTTGTTTTCGACTGTTTCGAACTCGACTGCTCCGTTCCTAGTTGCTCAACTTCCTCTCTTCACCAAGTACGAGGAGAATCCGGCCTCCAACTCTCTCTGAATGAGTTTCTGAGAGTGACTCGTTTTGTGAGAGTTCCAGCCTCGGATGCACGAGCAGTGATGGACCATAAGGCACTTGGAATTTATTTATTTACATACGAGCTTCTCAAAAGCCAAACTGATCAACTCCATTTTGCACGATGTTTTATTTTATTAGACAGATATACGTGATGGAAATTCAGGGAAGTGAAAGACTTGTTTTCGTGGATATGATTGTTCAATGGAAGTAAGTTTCTTTCTATGGAGCTTCTGAGTCTCTCTCATTGAGGCTCGATTAATCATGAATCTTGAAAACGTTATAGGATACTGAAGGATGAATTTTGCAAGCATTTTGCAATGCTTCACTCCAAACACCATATATTGAAGAAAATCTAAAAACTTTGAAATGCGAGACACATTCGTTTCTATACTACGTATTAATTACACACTTGGAAAATGGATAGAAATGCTCGCAAAATATCGAGACTTCCAAAACTCGAGATCAAAATTTCAACACTTTCGAGAGTTTCGAGAATATTCGAGAACCACTTCGAAAATCGTATAAGACACGTGACGATGGAATAGAAAGGTAAAGAACGTCGAGCCGCATTTCATAAGAATTTGATCGTTCCGTATTTGGAGCCTAATGCCCTTGCAACTCCTCGTTCGTAACCTTCTACGGTTCCTCCGCCACTTCACCATCGTCGAAATGGTCCTCGTGGGTCGGTAGCCGTCGACCAAAAAGTCCACACACTTCCTCCGATCGAATTTGGCCTCCTACAGATTCAGAGATTCGTGGCCAGACAACACGTAGGTATATAACCACCACCTACTGACCTATATGCTGCCGCAGGAAGAGAGGAGTCAGGGATCTAAGGAGTCTAAAATCGACAGGCATACGGTTCGAAATGGTGTGGAATTTGAGTGAAAAAACGCGCGTGTTATGTATAGGTATTCAAAATGTAGTGGTTCTTATAGCATTTAGTAGGTTATAAATGTGATGAAAATATAAATATAAGTATAAATATAAATATAAATATAAATATAAATATAAATATAAATATAAATATAAATATAAATATAAATATAAATATAAATATAAATATAAATATAAATATAAATATAAATGTTTATAAATGTTCATGAAATAATTTTCTAGAGGTGAAAGAATATAGAAGATCCTATTCTTTTCTTTGTATTCTCAAAAAAAAAAAATAAATTTGTACGAATCATTCGGGTTTATTCACATCTGGTTAAGAAAAAGAATTACCTTTGAGCAAAAAAGTCATGTAACAAAAAAGTTCTTTATTTATCCTATTTCTGTACAAATATGTGTCTTTTAAACAGTACAGACTCATTAAACAACGTTTAATCTTTAGAGTCATTAAACGACGTTTTTGGCATTCGACGTTATTTAACATATAACGTTGGTGAAAGGCGAATTTGTTGTTCCTTATTGCAATTAAAAAATAATCCTTGAACTTTAAAATCGTCAGTCTTCTATTTTCTACGTGTTACGCGAGCCTCTTATTGAAAAAACAAAAGCGAAATAAAGGAGAAGATAATTTCACGAACGTTGAATGACAAACGAGCAAGTGGGTCTAATTTCCTCCCGTCGTTTTCCCTTGGGCATTTATTCACACCGATTAAACGGAAAGATGATAGAGAGAATGGCGAGGAATCCAGCGAATCGAGGCCACGAAGCGGAAGGAAGAACGCTTAGATTTTGAGACTGAGCTCCACGAAAATAGTCTGTGTCGAATAAAATCGCGAAACAATGTGATATTATATTTTTCGCGTTACGCGTGAATTTGCATCAGTTAACTTTTTTCACGTATGCAAATATTTCTTTCTCTAGTCTTACGTTTCGAATTAAATTCGAAAAGTAATCTTGTTAAAAAATGCTTTGAAAGATGCAGTTTCTTTTTAATTTCTTAATATATGATGTTTAGGAGTATTATAGCGAGAAATATATTCTTCTAAATACTTTTTTCCATCATCTTTTTTTTTTATTTATTAAAAAAATACTAAAATACTCTTCCTTCTATATTTTTTATACTGATATATCATATTAATCTCAGAAAAGAATTTTAAATGTTTAGGAATCCATCTGACAATGCAGAAATATCTCGCTTTATTATTCGCTGTCATCCTTAAAGATATATCGCCCGTACACACAAGATTTCGTTGTAATTTTTCACATCAACAACCATCTGCAACTGAAATTATATGCTATCGAGCAATAAAAAAAACAAAAAAAAAAAAAAAAAAAAAAAAAAAAAAAAAATAAAAGAAAAAAAA